AGCACCTTCCAGCACTGTAAAAGCTAGTCAGTAGGGGTGAAGCTTTGAGGTCTATACAAGCTTCGTTTCTCTATGTTTGCTCTAAGATTTATGTATGCAATAAAGTGTTACCATCAAGTTGTTGAGGGTAAACAACAGCAATGACAATAGCCACTATTGTTTAAGCGTCTATGGGACCACCTTGGCCCATCAACAACTCCTAAAGGAGTCCCTTCCTGGTATTGGGCTTTTTATTTTCTGGCCTGTGGTTTCTGGTAAGGGTATTGTCCCTCTATTATAGGATAACCCCATTTTAACTATTTTTATATTTTGTATATGTATATATTTTAAGAAGCTTCTACAGTAGGTTTCTATATGACTTCTCTTTTCAAAAATCTAGGCACAAACTTTTGAGTTTTTCTCCCTGACCGCTCAGAAAACTTAAGGCAAAACCGAGTAGGCAGCAAACATTTAAATATAAACAATTCCTTAATTCCATACACAAGGTTATTAGACTTAGAAAAACAAATGTGCAAACACTTATGAGGATTCTTCCATTATGTTCATTCACTGTAAGCCAGCTTTCCTTAAGGCAAGGGACTACTAGAGCTTTCTCACATTTCTTGATAGAAGTGCCTTCATATAGTCTACTGTTGCACAGTGAGAGCTTGAAAAACATATGGTTCAATTCATCTTTCTTTGAACTTCAATTAGGCAAACTAAGAAAACAGAATTTGCAGATCTCTGCAATCCACTTCACCAAATATCTTTAAGAAAAAATGTGTAATTTTACCAAACCGTGAATAAGGTTTTCCTTTCCTGCTAATGATGGAGACATCTTATTACTGTTCTGTAAACAGTCAATTGGAAAAATTAATTCCAAATGATGTTAGGATTCCCAAAGAAAGCCACAAAACAAACTTGGAGTTAAGGTGATAATGCTTCTCTTGTACCTTGGCACTTGAGCAGTCTGCAGGGAGCATCTGGGATATGTAATGTCATAAGGCTGAGGGTATCAGCTCAGGGAAGCCATGAGATAATCTTGTTTTCCTACCAATTGTGATATACGTCTGAAAGATTTTTTCCTTTAGAAACCACCAAACAAATAGTTAAGCCTTAATATTTACTGAATAGATATTAAAAAGTATCAACCATTTTTGTATGGTAATAAAAAGTTTGTGATGCTTTAGGATCCTTTTATCTTCCTTTTAAGACACTGAAGGGACAATTTATTTCTTAAGAACACTGAAAGATGTGTTGGGAGGAGAGGTCATTTATCAAGTACTATTACATTTACATACCATAAACTCATTTTTAAATGGACTTCAGTTACTAACATAATGAAACCTAATATTTAAAAGAGTTCATCAAAATCTTAGCCTTCACATCAAAAGCACTATAAACAGAAGAAAAATAAACTAGACTGCCTAAAAAGATAATGCCTTTTGTGCTGCAAAGGACACCATTAAGAAAGCAGAAAGCCCACAGAATGAGAAAAAAAATGTTTGCAAATCATGTATCTGACAAGGGTCATGACTCTAGATTAGATGAAGAAAACTTATACCACATAATAGACAACCCAATTAAAAAGTGGGCAAGGATTTTGTAGAGATATTTTTCCAAAGATGATATGCAAATGGCCAATAAATACAGGAAAAGATGTTCACTATCACTTGTCAAGAGGGTAATGCAAATCAAAGCTCAGTAATATAGCATTATATGCCCACTAGACTATCATCAAAAAGACTAATAGTAATGTCAGTGAGGATGACAGTGAATTGTAACTACGTTGCTAGTAAGCAATGGTGCTATGGACAACAGTAAAAGATTATTCAGCATCTCACAACTCTATCCCTAGACATAGGCCCAAGAGAAACAAAATGTATGTCCTCACAAAGAGAGAGGGGGAGAGAGAGGGGGGAGAGAGGGAGATGGAGGAGGAGATGGAGGATGTAGAGGAGGAGGAGATGGAGGAGGTGGAGGAGATGGAGGAGGTGGAGGAGATGGAGGAGGAGATGGAGGAGGAGGAGGAGGAGGAGGAGGAGGAGGTGGAGGAGGAGGAGGAAGGAGGAGGAAGAAGGAGGAGGAGGAAGAGGAGGAGGGAGGAGGAAGAAGGCAGAGAGGAAAGAGGGAGAAAGAACTCAAAAGTCCATTAAAGGATGAAGATGCATGTGCTCAACGTGTCATTCAGCAACTCAGTTGCTTGGTCTCAGGAAATGATCCTTGTTAATGGTTCTACATCAGAACTTTCTGGGAATCTCCAGTTTGGTTGAAGATCTCCTCTTATACCTTCTCCTTCTTTCCAAGTCTTCCCAGAAGGGACCTGCTGCAAAAATTGCTTTTCCCAATAATTAAACTTCCAGTCATCTCCAAAGTTGCTGTTTATTGTACAAGGTGTAAGTTATTAACAAGCTTACACTTGGGAGTTGAAGAGCTACTTGCATTTTAAATGTTTTCTTCTCAAAATTTCACAAATTAATGTAGAGTCTTTCTTTATACAGGCTATACTATGCCTCCTCGGGGAGCCACCAAGGTCTCCTGACCCCCAGCATTCCAGAATCAGGGGTCAGCAACAGGGTGTCCCACTTGTGAAAAGCTATTGACCTCTGGGAGGGATTTTGAATGGAAGTAAGTATTCATTTTCAGAATGTGACTGGTCTGGACAGCAGCAACCTCATCCCCTCTCCATGTCTCTTGGAATGTTTTCCAGTCAAGGGGCCTAGAAGTCATCTGTCATCACTGGTCAGCAGTACAAGAAGCTCATTCTTACACTCTTGCCTTCTCTCCCAAACCAGAAGAAAGCATCACTCCACCCTCCTCCTCTCACATCCCAACTGTCATGTGTTCAACATTTGTCAATGTCTTCACCTTCAATGACATGGTCACCATACCAGGAAATTATATTTAACACATGAAAAATGAACATCAGCCCCATTTCTCTCTGCTTTGTAGTTGAGAGGGAATTTGTGTTAGAGATATGCATGTGTGTGTTTATTCTTAAAGCAACATTTATAAGCAATTAAAATGATTACTATTCAAAATCATAAAAGGATTTAATAACATGCTTTAATATAATTTCTTAAGCACTTCTTAATAAAATACAGATATATAATTATAATTATCAATGTATGTCATTTATATAACAATAAAAGGTTAGTCTTTGGAATGACATGGTGGTTATTATTTACAGCAAAACCTAAAGGAAACAGCATTTGTACAATAGTGCTAAATTTTATCAAAACAACAGAAAATTTCTATTCACATTATGGTGTCATCTCAAATTACCAACAGCAAAAAAGGAAAATGCTCTACCTACTATTACATATGGGTACTGGGCATTACTTTTCATGTTTTCTCAAGAAGGAAAAGCATTCTCGAATTATAATAAGCACAGAGCCTGGATCATTCTCAGTCTTTTCCCAAGTGTGTCAAGCTAAAAATACCATACATAAAATCTTAGCTAGATATACCTATTGAAAATATTTCATGTCCCTTTATGCTATTCTTAGATTTTAAAATTGTTACTCATTTGATGAACTGCTTACAGAATCCATGAGAATATGTGTATCTATAAGAAGAGCCAAATCTAGAGCACATTCTGTTCAAACAGAATATAGAAAATATTGTCTCTAACAATGGTCCTGTTAAACAAAGAAGTAAACCGAGAGAGATGCTATTTCCTCATCCACATGAGGGACAAGTCCAAGCAATTCTATTAATAAAGGAAATCACACTCTCTTCACTAGTCAAACATAGAATGTACGGGGCAGATGGGCAGATACATCATTTTAGTTTCTCAAAAGAAGAATGACACGCCATCATGCATGCTTGGCCTTTTCTGTTTATCTCAAGATCTGCTTCCAAAATTACTTATTTTGAACTCTTACATTATGTATAGATTTGGGGCATTTTTAAAAATCAATTGTTTTTATTTCTTCACTACTGAGGTTAAAATGCTGTTGAGGTTAAAAGTTTTATAGCTCACTTATCATAATGAGTGTCTTCCTCCTTGTTCTCCTAGGAGGCCTTTCTAGTAATGGACGCTGGCCTTTGACTACAAGCACAAGACAGATTGCTGGAGATAACCCTCGGAAATTCCTTGCAGCATTAGCACCATAAAGACTGGAGACCTGTTTTGGAAAGGAGTCCAACAGAGAGATAAGGTTAAGGAGGGGAAAGTTTTGCTCTGTAGGAGTTATGAGACATAAATAAGTAGCATAAATACCTTTGTCTTACTCTTAGACCTGGGGTCAGGCAGCTCAAGGATGGAAAAAAAGGATCAAAATTTAAAAACCAAGCTACACAAAAGCCCAAAGGATAATTAACAGTATTTGTCTGATTTAAAAAAAAAAAAGCAAAAATGTCTTACTGCAATGAAGACTGTAAAGTGGGTTTCTTTTTGCCATTACTCATACAACTCCTTCCCTAGTGAAACTGGAATTTTAAAATGTTCATGGGACATTTTTTAAGACCTACTTGATAAACTAAATGAGCAAAAACTTCAAAAATAGAAGAAATGTATTTTCTGTAGATTTTCTATATCTAACGGAAAGTAAAAATCATCCCAAGTCTCTCTTCACCTTCCTTCAGAAAGTAAAAATTATTATGGACTATGAACTTTTATAGACCCGAGGTCTATGGTAAATAAGAGTAAGTAGGAATGCAAATCTTCCCTTCATTATCACAGGTACCTCAGAAAGAATATAAAGGCCTCAACTGGCTTCTTCATTTCAGGTTCTTATACTGTCTCCAAAAACAACAGGAATCATAATGCTGGTGGTTATTAACACTGAAATATAGAACTGCTTAGCACATTCTTCTGATAAATGAAGATATGTCTGAAAATGACACAACAAAATCTATCACTCTGTATGTGAATTTCAAAAGTCTTTGGTTAGTAGCACTGCCAACTTTTAGGTTACCGTTTTGCATCTGAGTACTTTGGTTAAACATAGTATAATGTATGCCAATACTCTGTGAAACTAGATAAACTAGGGAGAAAAAAGGCTTTACATTCTTCTGATAAATGAAGATATGTCTGAAAATGACACAACAAAATCTATCACTCTGTATGTGAATTTCAAAAGTCTTTGGTTAGTAGCACTGCCAACTTTTAGGTTACCGTTTTGCATCTGAGTACTTTGGTTAAACATAGTATAATGTATGCCAATACTCTGTGAAACTAGATAAACTAGGGAGAAAAAAGGCTTTAATATACTGCATGCTATGTCTATAAAGCATACACATATACCATGGTAATTAAAAGCTCACCATGAGAAAGCCAAAAACCTCAGTAAGCCTTTTCTTTTATATGTACATTTTTATAAGCCACATATAGTTTCATTCCATATTGCTTAAGAAATAAGGAAAATCCATTAGATTTGAACGTAGTTTAACTTATAGGCTTCATCAGACCATATGTGCAGACACTTGAGAAGATGACAGAGTTAAGCTTCCTAGGGTCCTGGAGTCAAAGAAACTCTGCTGGCCCCCACTGCTAAGCAGGTGCACTCCTTCCACAGGGGGCAACATCTGCCGATCTGTCATGGTCCCACTCGGTGAGGACCCTAAGAAACTTCCTTGAGAAGAAACAATTTTCTCAGGACTGGCAGCCAGTTTGGGGGATGTGGAGAAGTTATATCCATATAAGGCACAGGGGCTGTGTAACCGGAAAGTGTTATAGGAACCCTGATGGGTCTGGTTAGTAGCAAAGGCATTGCTGGATGGTGATGGCATGATATACTGGAGTTGAGGGGACATTCCCGAAATCTGCATAGACAGGCTGGTCTGTGGGCAGCTGAAGGTGTCCCCATCGGTGCTGGCCATTGACATGTTCACAGAAGTGCTGCTGCTCACTCCCACGTAGGAGGGAGTCCTGGGAGGGGCAAAGGTCTCATTGGTCTGGTTGGTAAGCCTGTTGTAGGTCTCAGCCAAGGATGTGCTGTATCGGTTGAGAGCGAGGCCTGAGCGGGTGCAGGCAGAATAGTCAGCTGGGGCCAGGGTACACAACTGGCTGGTGTTGGGCCCCAGATGGAAGGCAGGAGAAGAACAAGAGGAACCAGATAAAAGATGAGGGTGTGTGGCAGGAACACCATTCCCAGTACCTTGGAGTAGGGTGGAAGAACTTGCATTGCCTATAAACGAAATTGAAATGTAAAGAATGACTTCAGCAGATGTCTTTTCCTTAAATTTGGTAAATGCATGGCATATAAGGCTTGTTTTTAAAAGTGGCAAAGGGGGTATGGAAAGATGGCTCATTAGCTGCTCTTAGAGGGGACCCAGGTTCGATTCCTAGCACCCAGATGGCAGCTAACAACCTTCTGTAACTCCAGTTCCAGGGAAACCAATGGCCTCTTTTGTCCTCCAAAGGCATGGTATGACAAAGGTGTGCTCACATATATGCAAGCAATACACTCATACACATAAAATAGAAATAATAAAAAAATCTTAAAGTGTGTGTGGGACACAGTGGGGTGGTTAAAAAGGTGGAAGAAGATGGTCTTAGCTTTGACTGCATTTGTAACTACCCTGAATTCAGATTGGGTAACTTCTTTAATTTAAAAAAATTTATTTTTATCTTATATGTTTGTTGACTTCATGTACATAAGTGTACCAGGTGCATGCAGTGCCTGAAGAAGCAAGGAGAGGGTGCTGGATCCCCTGGAACTGGAGTTATGGATGGTTGTTAGCCGTCATGTGGGTACTGGGAACCAAACCTGGCTCCTCTGCAAGAGCAACCAGTGCTCTTAACCACTGGGCCGTCTCTCCAGCTCCTTAGATCGAATATTTAAACATATATTCTCTCAATATTTTTAAACAAAGGGATGGTGAAATGGCTCAGCAGATAAAGGCCTCTACCTCCAAACCTGAGTTTGGAGTTAAGTATCTAGGACCTATATGGTGGAAGGAGAAAATCAACTCCCAAAAGTTGTCCTCTGACCTCCACATGTACTCTGTGACATGCACACACCCATATTCATTATACACTCACACCCATACCCCACACACTAAATAAATGAATTAATAAATAAGTGTAATACAAGTCATAAAGAAATATTTTAAGGGACTGGAGCCATGGTTCAGCTGTGAGCACTGGTTGTTCTTCCAAAGGACCTGGGTTTGATTCCCAGCATCCACATAATGAGTAACAACCATCTATAACTTCCAGTTCCAGAGAATTTGATGTCCTCTTCTGGCCTCCACGAGCACTGCATGACATGGGTGCACTTACTTACGAGCAGGCAAAACACTTTTATACATAAAATAAAAAATTCATTTAAAAACAAGGAAATAAAAAGAAGTATTTTAAGCCAAATTATCTCTCCAGAATGATGACATTTTATAATGCAGAAAATAGTAAGAGACTATTACATGGAATTTTCATGTTCTTCCTCAACTTGCTTTCTCAAAGATTTCTTATTTGTGATAAGCATTAAAATGATGACTTGCCAAAAACATTACAAAATGTGGATTTTATATAATTTTGCCTCTTCCTCTTTTCTACCTGTCCTTCTCTACCTGTGTTTTATCCTTTCTGTCTACAAAGTCCACACTGGATCAATGTACTTTCTTACAAAGGAAAAGAAGTAACTCAAAGGAAAGCACTGAACTGGTCCAGGCATACCCTGCCCTCAAGTGTATCTGCGGTTTCTGAGAGGCTAGTGTACATCACTGACCATGTCACTGAGGTCTCTGCTACGCAGTACAGTGACAAGTCTTATCTCTCAAAAATCTCATTTCTAGCTAGAAACTGGGTTGTCAAATCACATGCTAATGAAAGAGCAAAGGTCTAGCAAATAGAGAGTGGTTAATCCTACAAACCAATCAAAAACAGTGATGGTCACTACTCCCTTCTCTGGTTTTGCTGGCAGATTGATGTCTTCAAACTTTACATAACAAGAGGAATGGAGAATTGCAAAGGACTAACAACAGTATTACTGTTATATTCATTATTATTCTAAGAACAGTATTTTATGAAGTTCCTTAAAATAATCTATAAGCCTCAAACAATGATAATAACCTAAGCCTAACCATGTAAAACTCTCACTAGAATCCGGCATGATCCTGCTTTAAAAAAAAAAATCTGCCTAGATTTTAAGATTTTAGTAGTGACTTGGAAGTCTACCTCCCAAGCAGACCAGAAGGTGCAATCCTTCTCTGGGCTTATGAGAAATAATCAGAGATGAGCTCAAAATGGTCTGATCCAATGTACACAACTTTCCCATTGCAGACAAGGAACGCTGCCTAGAGGCAATTCTACTAAAGAAAAGAAAGGAGCTAGCAGGAAATGAGTGGCCAGAACAAGCACTGGCCATTCCCTGGGGCATGTACCTGGCCTCAGAGTATAGCAGCCTACCTCCAGCTTCAATACGGATGTAAAGATGAAGTAAAACATCCTAAATATATGAACAGCTAAAACATCCGAGATTTAACCTATTACCATCACAGGAAAGCAACTTTCCCGGCCTGTCCCCACATCATACAAAAAAGAAATGATCTTGGAGTAGGAGGACATTGGAGATGAGGTTGCCATCGCAGATGTAAATAGCACGTGCAGTTGTTATGGCTCAGCCTCTAGTCAGAAACTGGCTTCATGAATGACCCAGGAGACTGAATTACCTTGCTTTGGAATTCCAGGAATATCTTCAAAGGTGAGTGTCCGTAGTGATGGTCTCCAGAATGCATATGACTCCACCAGGGCTTCCAAGCCCATTCTAAATGGAAGGTTCAGGATGAGAGTGGGCAAACTAAGTTTAGTTAACAGTTGAAGCTTTCATCAATAATAAGCATCTGAGAAAACACCACCAGTATTTAGCAGTGTTTCCCCCCTACATACAGTGGCAAGTTAGAAGCTTGCAAGGCTGGAAGAAACTTTTTGGAGAGAAATGCAGAAAGAGACTGGAAACCTACCAAAATGCCTGCTAATATTCTCAGGAACCTAAGCTGACATGGAGCTGAGCAGCTGAGGCGAAGAGCCCATCCTGGCTGACATGAGTTCAAGGCTCTGCTGCATTCTGGAGCGCCTCTCCCTGTCAAAGAACTTGTCCCTCTGATGAAGTGGCCGCCACAAAAGCATCCTCCCGTCAAGCTCTCTTTTCTAAGGGACATTTCTGTCTTTCCGTCAGTGCCTCAGGAGCCAGCTCAGAGGAGGAACCACTCGAAAACCAACTTCTGGTCTCAATCTCTACTACCAGCCAGGATAGGCCAGGAGGGGGCAGCAATGAGCTCCCATCCAGCTTCCCTCAGGAGAGCATGAAGGTGATGTCACAGAGCTATTGAAACTACAAGTTACTAGTAACACAATGAATGGATGTGTGAAGAGACAAAGTTGGTTACAGACTATTTATATCACATACATATATTCTAAAATATAAACAACTATACACAGGTATAAATCACTTTTTCCCATAAGTGAATCCAAATCTTCATTCCCTGTTTACACCTGGAAACTAAGTGACACATTAGGGTTTGGGGATTGAACCCTTCACTCAATTAGCCATTCTCCGGCAGCCTGAGCCCTCACTACTCATCTTCAACCACCTCAACCTCGAGCAATTTGTTAATAAGATAACGTGTTAGAGGCTAGGTGTGCTCAGTGGTTAGCACTTGCCTAACATGCACAAACCCAGTACTCATCCCCAGTACCACAAAAATAGGAAATGCCTGCTTCCTGGTTATCAAATACTACTCACATTTCTTGTGGCTGCTGTATACTAAATTTTTTTTTGTATACTCAATAGTTTCAACTAAGCTGCTACCTCTGCTGGCTTCCCTATACCTTTGACTCGAGAACTGAGATTAAGACTAGAACCACCCAGCAAGTCACATTACTGCTACAACATAGTGAAAGCTACTTAAAGAACAGGAGTGATTTATGCAGAAAAACACCTCACTGCTGCCCTTTTCTGTCAAGGTTTTACAAGCTGAACTTTGTTAGAATGTGCAGGGTGCAGTCTCCATTAATATTTCTATCCTCACTCATTAAGGAGCAGGCCCATTCCACTTGGTGCTAGCTCTGCGTATATGTGGCTGGGCAGTATCTGTGCATGCCCAGGCTTGTATATATGAACACTGTCGTAAGCCCACATAGGTACCTTACTCATTTCTTCAGTAGCAGGATCAGGGGAGCACTACTCTGGAAGCACCTGTGAGAGGTATCACCAGCTCACAAGATGCTACTGCAGGGCTGTCAAAGGAGAAGAGCAGGGCGGAAGAGACCTGCATCTGTTTCACCTGGGCTACCTGGGAGGGAAGAACAGAATCTGACTTCTGATATAATCAGTGTTCCACAGAGTGGACTCTTTAGTGGTGAAGATACTAGAGTGAGATTAGAGGAGCCAGGCTGTGACAGTAAGTCACTCAAACTAATTGGGTGACTTTAAATCAATTTCTTGACCTCCCTGGATTTTAGTTTCCTGTGAAGTAAAGATTAGACTATGAAGCTCTAAAACCTCTTCTAGTTCTAAACTCATTTCACTGTAAATGATTTTTATTTTTTTTTTATAAATCAGACATCATTTCTGTGGCCAAACTACAAGTCAAATACAAAAGTATCACTCAGTAATATTTTCTGTGTGGTAAAGTATTAATTTCTGGGCAGCTGTGGGCCTAGATAGTCTCAATACCATGTTACCTGTGGGTTGTGTCTAATTCTGGACTGATGAATACTGAGTGAGCTTAGCTGATGACCCTGTATTTAGCTTAAACCAATACTAAATCTTTACTACTAAATGCTTATGAATGTTATGGCACACATTTACTTAAAACACTATTCCCACATAGATGAATTTTGACAATGTTAGTTTTTATATTAAAATTATCAAAGTAATTATAGGATGGTTTTACTAACAAATAGCCACTGGACTCAGAGATGTATCAACTATAGTGATGTCTACTGCTGCTTCATTTGCTTTAGCAATGTAAACTTTATTATGTTCCATATTCATGAGTCAAATTCTTAGGGATAAGTTCCTGAGCATACCAAATATATAACCCTACACTTTAAGGAGATGGCTCAGAGGGACAAACCTACAAGCACTCTGATTAGGAGCTACTGATATGTTTCCGAAGGCTGCTGCTTCACACTGCCAATTCCACAAAGGATTTCAGAAATTTTGCAGGAAACAGTTATAAAATATTTATTAGCTGAATCTGGACTTTTGTTAAAAAGTCTTCATTTTCTCCAGTAATGGAGACTTTTCCCTTCTAGTTAAAGAAAAGATGAAAGGCACCTCCTGCAGGAGAGTAGCCAAGGCGATAATTTATACAAGGTGCCTTTGAACAACTTCCACATTTTACCACCGCCCTCATTTATGCTATCAGATGGCTGAGTTTATTTAGTAAAATGGTTATGTTTTTCCTGAAGTATTTAAGAGAAGAAATTTTTGTACCTTCCTGAGTAAAAAATTTTATAGGGTCAAACCTAAGGCCTAACTGAAGAATGGAACTATTCTCAGCACATAAATTCACTCTCACATAGCAAATGCCTTGCAGGAGAGCTTTTAAGGGCTGAAGCTACTGATTCCTATAAAATAGGCTGTAGAGCCATAAATAGCCAGGAAAGGACACTTTTTAATTAAAGAAAATGGCTTTTATGAAATTTAAAAAACCACAAGTTCATGTTTTGTATCCTGATCACTCTGTTTATTTCATATATGAGGAATATAAAAATAAAATTTTGTTTTAGAAAGTAGTAAAACTGCACAGCAGAACCAGGCATAATAAAGGACTTTCTTCTCTATTAATGTAAAGAAAAAATATCCCCCAAATCACTATACCTTCAAACAAGTCTTACATATAACTCAGGTGCTTTTTTATAAGGAAAATAATACTAAGTTTGAAGCATTTAAAACTGACCAAATTCTCTTCTCCATACATGTGGCTTTTGCATCTATCAGTCATAATTAAAATGTTGTGGTCAGGTTTTTTTTTTTAAAAAAAGGACTACTGATTTATAGTGAAGAGTTTTCCTGTAATAAGAGAAGTAATTTCATGAGGAAAACAGCTGAAACTTTACTTCACTAGCAAGAAAGCTCTGTACAGACACAATACACTCCACCTGTAATAAGACTGTTTAAACACTTGGAAAAAAATAAGAATTTTGAATTTTAAACAAAATTCAGAGTGTTTAAATATAACTCGTTATTTCTATATGCTAATTTAAAACATTAAAAATTTTATTAGAGTCAGGGAAAAAAAAGACAAAGTGCCATTTGATACCAAGCCAACATCTTTCCAAGCTGCCAAAAGGGATATAAAATCATGTCAACCCTAATACATGCCTCCTTCTCGAACAACAGGCTTAGCAGTTTATTTCACCAATGGTAGCTATTTTTAATGACATAATTTAAATACCCTCATCTTTTCATTGTGTTGGCATATCTAGAACTCTTCCTCAAAATTTGTCATATACATCTTTCCTCTCACTTCCTACAGAAGGTTTACTCATTATTACTATCTGTTCAAAATGCATTTTGTAAGACTGTTTTCTAGTTCATTGCCTCTTAAATAAACTGATCTTCAGTGTCTGTAGGAGGGAGACCCTCACTGGAGCAGTCAACGACATGGACACGGTTTCTGGTATACTCTGAAAGCCCGAGTGTGGCCTTCTTATAGATCCAGTGAGTTTTAGCAAGCTCCTTTTCTGCTTAAGAACAAGTTAACAGAGGCCAATGCAAGGCTCAAAAATGGATAAATTCTGTTCTGCCATATCCTATATCACAAGAGATTCCAACAAAGCATTTGTCAAGGTAGAAAAAGACTCATCCCAAATATTTTCTTCAGTCATGTTACTCATTATTTTCGGTTACTAAATTATGTTTTAATTTGCATTCAGTTTTCAGAAACATCCCTGGAAAGTAAGCTAACCAGGAGGTGGTGTAACACAGCAAATGCCCAACATCAAAATGGGTATCTAAAAGGACATACAGTAATTTCAATATGGGAGATGGCCTATGTCCCACAGAGTGGACCGTTTCAGGGAAGCTCTCCTGCTGCTCCTGCTCAGTCCTGTTGTCCCCTGCCCTAACTTGAAGGTCACTCTACTCCCACTGTATCTTAGTTGACTTTTAGTCCTTCAACTGCATGCTGTTGGGGTAATGCCACTGTAAATGAAGATGCCACCAAGTCTCTTTAAGAAATTGAGTGTATTCTGAAGTTTCTAGAAATCTTGACTATCACCTGTTTTCTAACTAAAATTTCAAGAGAAATTGTTTCTAAGATAATTGAGGATTTTCCCTTCATGTAGACAAACCCAGTTAATGCCAGTTTTCATGGAGTAGTGGAATAATTTTTGGAGTTAAGTAACAAAAATGTTCAAATGTTTTTTTTTAAAGATGTTTTTTAAAGCATGTTTATTAAAGCCTTACCTGAAAGGGTAGTTAGAGAATGTTAGTCTGTTATCATGCTCTATGACAAGCAGTTATTTTAGAAAATGTTTCACTGAACTATACTGGAATAGAGTTAAAGCAATAACTTTAAAAATTAATGGCACATAGACTAGATGCCCTATTTTTTGATAAACATAACAGAGTAGAATTCGTTGTTGTAGTTATCCCACTTAGTCCAAACACTGAAAAAAATAACACACAAAAAACTACTGTGTGGCTGTCAGTAGAGCCAAAACAAATTTGGAAACTGAAGAGTATCAGCTTTCTTGGCAATGAGAAGTTGTCTCCTGCTCCAGTTGGAAATCCGAGTTAACAAGAGGCTCTATCACGCTCTCCAGACAGAATCAATAGACAGTGTGTCATCACTAAAAAAATTCTAAAGCAAAAGCAGAGGCAAGGAGGACAATTTCTTGAGATGTCAGAGCCATGAACTGTAAGGGAAGGCTTCTCTGTGGACCCCTCCAGAAACAACATGTAATCTACATGCTGAGGGGGGTACATCTTCACCCAGCATCATCATAAAAGTGCATCTTCAGGCAAGAAACACTACGATACTCCATAATTAATCTGCACCAAGACACAATAGTGTCTTAAAAATTATCATCAGAACTTTAGTATTCTGTGAGTTAATTTAACTTTTCAGTTTGAAATGGAAAAACAACACTTAAATATCAATATGTTTATCACAACCAGAATGTTCATCATTAGGGCTTACCTATTCCGCCCAGAATCTCGGAAGCCTTTGGCAAATGGATTCCTGTCTATCTTAAGGCGAGTAATCTGCAGAGTAGAAAAAAATTCACATCAAATTTTATATAGATATTGCAGGGCATTATAAAAATTAAGATAACTGAAGAATTTTAATTCAAAAATTAACAGAGGCTTCTATCGTGTTTCCTCACATGTATTTTAATACCTTAACAGTAAAGGTAAAAGAAAATTTCAGAAATCATCTAGAACAATCATCTACTTTAAGAAAACAACACTTTTTCACTCATTTTCAATCTCTATTAATGGACTAAAGTTTGCTTTGTTTTTACCATTCCTGGAGGAGATTGTGAATCACCTTCTGTGTTTTGCCCTGTGTCTGACCATCTTCTCAGAACTGAAGTTATTCCCTTCAACTCTAGGATGTGGTTTAACTCCTTTAATAGTGATGACGATGGAGAAATGTTCAACAACTTCTGTTTGTTGGCAAATCATATACTTCTTTTTCCTTCTTCAGGGTTACGGAGTCCCTACGCCCTCTTAACTTTCTGTCTCAGTGTTTTACTTTGTCTCTCCTGTATTCACCTTTGTTTAATTTTCATCTTTTATTCCTGAAGTACTAACCTGGTCACAGCACAATCACGGATGTCTAACCAGACATTACAGCCCGTTTCCTAAGAGGCACACCATATTTTGCTTTCTAGATTCTTTGGCTTAATGAAATCTACAAAGTTAATAAGCACATTTGTGATTACATTATCCTGTTAAGGATAAAACTGGTTGGATAACATGACCTCCCTATCTGGCCAATGCAAACTCTCAGCACCAATCAGTGTCAATCCTTAAGACACATGCATTCCATAAGATATTGTTGTGGTATGTGGCTAAAGCTGCATTATAAAAGATAGGACAGAAGAGTTTGCTAAGTCACGATGCCTGCCATCCTATCATTGGAGGGAATTTTTAATTGCAGAATATATTACAGATCAACTCTGTTCATTTCAATAATTTAATAACATTAAATAATTTAAACATTTAAGATGTTACTTTTTAAAGAATACAGATTTATATATCACTGATCTAAAATATATTTCAATTATCCTCATTTTTATTACTACCAACAGATTTATTAAGCATAGATTATGTACGTCATACTGAGTTGTATACAAACCACTCACTTCATTTTCATGGCAACTTATGCACAGCTACTATTCTAATTTTATTTTGTTTTCATTTGAAGTGAGGCTTTGAAAGTAACTTTCCTAGGATCAGATGGTTAGCAGCCAGTAGAAATGGTCCAGGAACCAAGGCTGCAAAGCTCACTCATAAAAGCTAATAGTCTTTACCAACCTCCTAAGTTCTTAAAAACGATAGCTGAGAAATTAAAGATGGAATGTGGTCGCATCCATTACTGCCAATTTCCCATCTAGTTTTTCTACTTTCTTAAGTGACTTAGTGTTCGCTAATCACCACAATGTGTCCAGAGTGACTGCATTGTCCTTTATGTATCACAGAGGGTGGGAGGAGCACAAGATAGCACAGATGACCTCTGTGTTGATGACACAAAGACAGAAAAACTAGGAATTGAGTTGTTGACAAAAACATACTGAAAGCCTCTGCCATTTTCTCTTTATACACTACTATTTTCAAAGAGAAAAAACATTTCCTTCCCCTAATATACTGTAAGAATATCATTCTAAATATCTCTAGATCTTCGAATAGCTACTTTTGTGTTTCTTCCTAAAAGCCTATATAAAGGGTGGCAATGCAAGTGTGAAAGACACTCCATCTTCTGCTGGGAAGGCAAGTGTCTCCAGAGCCTCTCTGCCCTGAAGGAGAAGACTTCAAGATCCTCATTTCCTACAACACTTTAAAACAGACTGAAAAAGCAAGACTATAACTGAGATGCATACAAACGTAAAGAGATGAGGACCCTCAAACAGTTTGACTGACCACCGAAACACAGGAGAATCTACCGCAGGCCACATCAGCCAGCACTACAGTTACTTTTTATGAAACTGGTTCAAACGGCACAGATGAAACATTTGCCTCTGATTTAATTCTGTGCTCACTCAACTCATGGAAAACAGCCTTGAAGAAATACAACTGTTTTCCCTTTTGAAAAGAAACACTTCACTTCTCAAATTATTTAAAGCATTGTAAAACAGTAACTTCAAAATTGCTGACCTCTCAGACTACAGTACATATTATCACTGTCCATCATAGTTCAAAGCATAGCCTGAAAGAAAATATCCTTTTTAAAATATAGAAAGCTGGGTGTAGTGGCACACGCTTTTGATCTCAGCACTCAGGAGGCAGAGGCAGGCAGATCTTCATGACACTGAGGCCAGCCTGGTCTACATAGCGAGTTCCAGGCCAACTGTGGATACAGGGAGGCCCTGCCTCAATACACACACACACACACACACACACACACACACACACACACACAGAGAGAGAGACAGACACACACATACACAGACACACACACAGACACGCACACAAGTGTAGAGGGAAAATGCTTCTGAAATAATTCTTATAGTTTATGGGCTGCAGTTTTAAAACCAAATATCTTGCTCTATGACACAATGAGCTTTTCATACTTTGCATGTCTAGTTCCTAGGTGATAAATATGCTTACTAATTTTAATTATAATACTGTAATTCAGTATCTCAAGATGGAATGCAATATTACACTGACAATTCTCAACTGAAGATGTCCTCACTAGAGTATCTCTACTGGGGGAATCATGGATCAGAAACTGTTATTGTGTACATCACACGCGCACACACACACACACACACACACACACACACACACACGCTTTGGATGTCATGTATGGCAGATGTTTTACAATAATTCTTGACATTTGGATGAAGCAAACAGGAAGCACTTGCTTCCAATCTGTGTTGAGACGTCTGGAAAGAGAGGGCTGAGAAAAATACCTGCTGATTCTGATAGGCAGTGACAGTTGTGAATACAGTTTCTGGAAAGGAGAAGGCCTTCACTCCCTCTCCAGAAGGAACATGCTTGATGGGAGAAAGATCCTCTCCACAGTCTTTACGGATGATGTGCACACGTGGTTGGTATTTGTGCATAGAATGAAGAATAATCTAGGTCAGGGAAAGAAATCCAAAATTAATCAGGGACCATGTTCCAATCTGACAGTATGGCCAAATACGTAATTTGGAAAATAAATTTCTGCAGCAAATTAACATTTCTGAGGATGCACAAATGTTAATTTGATAAAATACTGAAAAGCTACAGAGGGAAACCTAGGAAGTTGCTTGTAAAATTTACATAAAAAATACACAACACTAGTGAAACCCTGGGTATAACCATGTGAACTCAACCTCAAATTATCTCTTGCTTAAAACACAATAATATATATATAATTGTATTCATAATGAGTTGAATAAAACCAGGCCAAACCAATGATACTAAAACTAAGATTGAAATGATCATTTAAATTGCCTCAAATTCATCTCCTAAAAAGAAGTATTTTCATGCAAGTTTTCAAATCTCAAGGGAAGTTTTACTTTATTAGTGATGTCAAGACCCACTTAAGGACACCCCATTGCTTATTTTGTAGATCTTGTAAAGTCTCTGCTTTGCCAGAAGAGCACAATGTCCATGCCTCCAGCACATCAAGTCTCCTTCAAAGCTTAGGTTGAGGAATGGAAAAGCTAGCTGCCTACTCTCTCCCAGTCTCTGCTGTGGGAATCCATGCTACGGTTCAATTACCTTCTACGCAATGATCCCACTCAGAGGATTTGTCCTAAGGAATTATTCCGAATTCAGAAAAGCTTTTCATGTACAAAGATGAGTATCACTTAATTCATAACAATGGAAAAACTATAAACCACTTATATGCCCAAAATGAGTAGAGTAGTTAACTAATGAAAATTCGTATCTGAGTATCACTGAGGGGTTGCTAATGTTTAGGAAAATTTCAACCAGATAATGAAATACTTCTTTTTAATTTTAAAATGATAAAACAGCATCCAATTTAGAACTGTTTCATGACTCATTAAACTAGAATCAAATGGGTGCATACAGAGATATGGACACAGATATAACCATGTATATAAACCTAAAAAGCAATAGCTAAGGAGGTGAAGAAATAAACTCATCCAATGTAGTTGCTTGGATTTTATATTCAGGTATTCAAAAGTTAGTTTAGCAAACAAACCTGTAACTTCTTGAACTATAAGCTTTAATTCAAGTTTTGGGTTGTTATAAATCTAGAGGGAGAAAACAAACAAAAGCCATGGGAAAACACAGCTGCTGATGTGCCTGGGGTTTTTCAGGACGTGGGCAGTTTAACAAGCCAAATTCAGAGCCTCTGGTCAGCGCAAATACAAATGGCTCTGTACTTGGACAGTGTGTTTGCTGTCACAAGAGCATGAATTTACCCTTTGGTTTGGTAACCAACACTGCAGTCAGGGTTTTTGTTTGTCCTGAAATTTTCTTTGTATCGATGGAAGAAATACCTGGAAAAGTATATCTTGCCAACAAGACATGCCTCTTAGGGAGGTACCATGAACATGAGGGAATATCCAGAGTGGGCACCAGCCCTCATCAGCACTTGAGGAACACAGGGAAGAATCTGTACCCTCTTTCCAGGACTAAGCAAAGGGCAGAATTTCAATGAACTCAGCTTATTAGATCCACTAACGGGTTTCAACCAGAAAAATTTTAAAATAAGTAATAAGCAGGCAATACACTCATACACATAAAAATAAATATTTTTAAAATAAAAATGAATAAATTCTAAGATTCTAACCATTGGCATATTTTATTTGACATTTTTCCGTGAATATAGAATGTCTTTTGCTTGTTTCCCTATTGCTAGATTATGTTCATTAATTCTAGATTTAAAAGATATCGAAATCTAAGTTTATATTCTTAGATGCAGCTTATATCCTTACAGGTTTTTTATTTTTATTTATTTTTTTTCTTGCTTGCTTTCAGAGCTCTGATGGGGGAATGAGAGCAGCTGAGGTCTGTTCCCTTCCAAGTAGTGGAATGCCTCTGTTGATATGCAGGGTTCTACATGACATTACATTTGACATCTTTAAGCCTCAAAAAACTTACAATATCTCTTAATCCCAGCAATTCAGGAGGCAGAGGCAGGAGGCAGAGGCAGGCAGATCGCTGTGAGTTCAAGGCCAGCCTGGGCTACTTATTGCATTCCAGGCCAGCTGGGGCTACAGGGAGACCCTGTCTCAAAAAGACCAAAAAAAAAAACACCTTACAATATCTCAATTTAGTTTTTTTAAATGGTAAGGTCAACAGAATTTAGAGACTTCTGAGTCTGCAGGGCTCCCTAGGCCCAAGGCTGGTTTTCCCTTCCTGTCTAAATGCCTCTCTTATGCATTTACACTGTGTGGGCAGGCATAGTCTCTGGGCCAAGCCCAATACAGGAAGCACAAGAATGATTTTGAGCCTGTGGAGGTAGTTAATTAAGGCCCAACTTGTGTCTCAGTCACTACTTGAAAACCTGTGATATAAATGCCCTGATGCTTTGTTCATATTTATTATTACAACAAAGTTTTACTTTAATACACTCTTTTCAATGTTAACATAAAACAGCAAAAGACTACTTTTATAGCAATGACTGTTAATGTTAACTCAACTTTTCATTCCTTTAGATAACCTCTCTCTTTAGAAAACTGACATGCACCAGTACCTAGGAGAGGAGGGCAGTTTGAGGGAAAACTCATTTTCTTCTCCAAGCTAAGAAGTAAAATGTTAGTGGCAGGCAAGTAACAGCATCTATCAACTCCAGAAAGAATTACTATACCTTTTAGAAGTGAGGTCCAGAGCAGAAGAAAAATTGAAGCCAAGTTACTTCATATAAAACAAACAAGCAAAAGGTACACAGCCAATTTCAAAGCATTGGAATGGAGGTCTAAAATTTGTTTTCTGTTCAGCAGTCTTCTTCTATGAAGACTCTGCTCTCTCAAGGAGATTTCTCCAGTTATAAATATTTCAAGTCTGTTTACATCCCTAGTGCATTTTAGAAATGACTTCAGGTGGGGTACACTGGGATAAGGTACAACACTGACTAGCAGATGCTTATGCTTGCACATCACAGAGCAATTGCTAATAATCTGAAGACTATCCGAGAAAATGCATCTTCATTAATATCTATAGAAATATAGCATATCCCTGGAAATTTTGAGACAATGCTAACCAAGTTCAGTTCTTCTTTATAAGACATCATTTTTTGCTTAATAAAGTATCATATTTAAGGTTGGTGAGAGAGCTCACCTGGTAAAGTTCGTGCTGCCAAACCTGACCACCTGAGTTGAATCCCTAGGCTCCACATGATGGAAAGAAGGGATCAGAATTCTGTGAGTTGTTCCCTGACCTCTGACCACATTTAACACTGTGGCACATGGGCACCTACACCCACATAAATAAAGAAATGTAACAAATTATCACATTTATACCAAGAAGCGGCCAGTAGTATTTTGCTTATTTAGTAAAACATGAAGGACCACTGGTCTTTTAAAAGAGAAACCATAATAATAATACAAACAATTTGATCTGATGAGTCTGTTCTGTACTCTCTGTTCTATTTAGACAGGATCTGGAGGAGGGGGACTACTAATAATATTAGCAAAGTCATACAGACCCATGTCCATTATCAAGCCTGCACATGCTTTTCTACCTTAAAGACCTTTGTAGATTGGAGAGGCTGGGGGTGTGGCATAGCTCAGCAGTAAAACACATGTCCTGGGTTCAATCTCTAACACTGTTAATTAATTTAAAACTAGATTTGAGTCCAAAGAAGCATATTTCTTTCTTATCTGACAAGTTGAACATGCTTGAAGTTTGACAAGATAGCCTTACCACTCCATAGAAGAAACTCTGATGACTAAAAATTTTTCAGATGACTTAAATTCTCACAATTAGGTTAAATCAAGCAAAGGACCTAAAAGGGACAGATAACCAAAACCTGGCTTCCTGCATGTATTGTAATACCAGATATGACCTCACCTTAAATGATGTTAAAACTGTATCAGTGAATCACAACCTCGACAGCAAAATCAGTTATTTTTGTTTTTACATGATACTGTATTTCAGGTCCTCTTTAGGCACATTTTTTTACGTTTACCAGATTCCTTGGTTCTCTAATTCCTACATAATTCATGAGAAAACAAGTCCTCAATGAGTGAAACTGACTTGGCCAGGATCACAAATGTGTAGTACTTCTAAACATTGCAAGTTCCTTCCCTAGGTGAGATCTCTATAATCTTTCCTATACCACCGTGCTTCCTCTGATTTTCAAAGAGAAACAGAAGATCTGTGTTAAGGAATCCTCAGCAGTAGTGATACATGCCCCCCAACCCCCGCACGCGCCTGACTATGGTTACCTGGGAGGGTCCACTTCCAAAGCATCCCAGCTGTGAGTATGGCTGTTGCTGCAGTTTAAAGTCAACTGTTATCTGCCAAATGTCTACTTTTTCAGAGAGATGCTCATGAAAACATTTTCCTTCAGAAGACAAGTTCCAGATCAACAAGGAAACATGCATGTGCTGAGAAACTACCAACCAAGCACACAAACCACCTGCACACAGGCAGCCTGAGAACCAGGCTTGGCTGTAGCACAGAGGGACATTACTTCTCTGAATTCTTACCAATATTCTTTCAGAAACCATCTATGGTATTTGGGAAACTGGTAATTTACTCTGGGGACAATCACAATGCACATCATCTCATGTGAATCTAAGTCTAGTTATAGTCTGCAAGGATTTGATGCCCGCAATCACCTTACATTAAACTAGTAAAATTCCCAGGTTCATTGAGTTCTCAAATTACAAAGTTGCATACTTACACATCTTTAGCAGAGTAAAATGAGGAATTAATAGATAAGAGATAAAAATGTAGGAAAGAAATTTAAGAAATTGGGGTGTATACAATTTTATTAGCTAGAGGTTACAATGAGCTCCTTTAGAATTGGTGAAGGATTAAGGGAAAGCAAGAGGATAAGTCCGAGTCTGAAGAGTCCCTGCTTTAAGTCCCACCATAAACCTCCTTAAACCTCAGTCAAAAGCAGTAATAGAATCACAAACATATTCCTACTCTCTAATCTATTTCCACATTTAACAGAGTGAGTGCAACAGAGACCTTCAGGAAGTCTTCCCTCTCAAGAGTAGACAGGATGGCAATTCGCATGTTTCCTTCTGGCCTCATTTAGGCAGAACCTCACAAAGACAGTCTCTGCATTCAAGAATACATTCTGAAGATGACTGAGGGAAAAGAGTGCTTTCCCCTATACCCTCATCTTTAATCGACTGACAAACACATATACTTTAACATTACAAAGGCAATTTCCTTGCTTCTAGATTTCACACAACAGTCTCCTCCCAGTTCCTCATGAACATTAATTATGTCCCTTGATTAAACTTAGCACATCCTGTCACATTCTTAAAAGACATTCTGAAGATGACTGAGGGAAAAGAGTGCTTTCCCCTATACCCTCATCTTTAATCGACTGACAAACACATATACTTTAACATTACAAAGGCAATTTCCTTGCTTCTAGATTTCACACAACAGTCTCCTCCCAGTTCCTCATGAACATTAATTATGTCCCTTGATTAAACTTAGCACATCCTGTCACATTCTTAAAAGAACAATTTCATCAGTAGACAGAACACTTCTGTAGGTTTTTACTTGTTGTGTTTTTTTTTTCGCTTTCTTCCTAATAGTGAAATACTTTATTTAAGTCTACGCAACTAAATTTCAATTTACAATTATTTTAATATTTTAAACAAATGCTGTGTGACAGTTAATGCCCATATATCTGGTCAAACACCACTGTAGATACTGCTGTTAAAGTATATTTTAGAGGTAAATATACAAATTGATAGACTCTAAGTAAAGCAGACTAGCCTCCAGAATATCAAGTGGGTCTCATTCCATCAGCTGGAGAAAAGAGGCCAAGGTTCCCAGAATTAATCTGGTAACAGATTAATTCCAGATTCAAGATGCAACTTCATCTCTTCCTCAGTCTCCAACCTGCCCTGTCAATTTAGAACTGGTCAGCTCTCTCATAATCACATGAACCTATATTCATATTTTCCGCTCCTTATAAACATTCTTTCTACATGCATATATGAATACATATACACATAATACACACACATATATATATACAAATTATATTTTCTCCAGAATGTTTTGCAAATAAAATTTAGTAAAAATACAAAGCTAAAATCATATAGATTAATTAATCTACATATAAAATACACTAGATATTACATATAAAGACAGTACTCGGAAATAAAAGAATTAGAACTGCAAAATAATTATATTGATTTAAATTACTTAATATATGGTTTAGGGATGCAATATCTCTTTAAAAATATATTTTTAAACTGTAGAAGCAAGACCAAATGCCATTTAGTCTAAAATTTCCTACTAAATTTTATTTAACAGGGCCCTCAGTGGACACACTACCAACATGTCAGTCATGTCCTCCAAGGAGACAGAAGAAGACCAAATGCCATTTAGTCTAAAATTTCCTACTAAAAACAGAAAAACAGGGCCCTCAGTGGACACACTACCAACATGTCAGTCATGTCCTCCAAGGAGACAGAAGAAATCAATATTGTTTCATCACTGAAATCAAGTGAACAATAACTGTTTCAATCTGATCATGCAAGATTGGAAAAATAATCATTAAAAAGAAGGAAAATGAATATACCAAATATATGAAGAAAGAAAATATGTTATTTCTCTGTGTCTTAAATCATAAAAGAAAATACAAACGTATTAGCATGTGAAAACTGACTAGATGTGTCTTAAAAATGTAAATAGTGCATTTGTCACAGAAAAAGTAGTACACTTCACGGTTTTCATCAGAGTAAAGTGCTTAAGATACTGTCTAGCAACTTGCAAATCATCTATCACAATTTCATTAAAATATATATTTTTCGTTTTAAATGATTTACTTACAAATGTTCTATCTTATCCATTTGGGAAATAAGAGAGTTGATATTCTTTTTATGTATGGTGTGTTGTTCTTAAAGGCATTTTAATTATGCTTTAATCAAAACTCTTTCAAATAAGAGAAACCTAACAGAAATGCTAGCTCTGAGCAGAAATAAGCATTTATCCAGTCACTTATTTATTATAATAATAATGTAGACTCTTGCCTAAGAACAACTCAGCAAAAAATCAGCAAGCTGTTAAAAACGACTGGGTTGTTGGAGTGGCTGAACTCTGACTAGAATATCATGTTTCAGCAGTTTTTAGAGTAAAGGGAATTATTATTATAACATATTTTGACACATTAGATGCCAGTACAAAACAACTGGGAACATGCAGATGGAACTCACAAACAGCACAAGCCTGGGTCATTACTGTGAAGCAAGGAGCCTCAGCTGGGAAAAGAGCTGGGTGCAGAAGACACAGTAAATCATTGTCCCTGTTACCAAACTTTCAAGTCTATTCAGAGTATAATAATAAGCACCCCATGGGATTTCACACACAAATGTTTTGGGGTTTTTTTAATGTCTCTGCCTTGGGATGTCTCTGCCATGAATGTCTCCTCTCATTCTAATACAAACAGTTTCTAGTTTAGCCTATGAAATGCCTTACACAACACCTGAGCTACAGGCACAGCCTTTGATACAAACATAATCTGGATTTGGCACAGACTGTGCACATCGTGACCAACCAGAAAAGGAGTAATAAGATCTTAGTAGTGTTGAGTCAGGCACATCAGGTACTGGCTGTGCCCCCCAATGGTGTGTGCCAGAGGGGCCATTTACTCACATGGCCTTGGTCATCCAGTTCATTGTTGGTAAGCTTCAGCTTGTCGAAACTGATCACTTGTCGCATCCACGTCTCCCCAGAGGCAGGTGAGTCTGGATGGATGTACACCCTGGGTGGCACAGGAGAGTCAGCGTTACCTGCTACCATCCATTTGGAGCTGTGGTAAACATACCTAGGGGGCAAAGACAAGATTCTAAAAACATGGACTATCCATTTCTTGGAATTCCCAACTCAGACCAAATGTGCACCCTTTTCTGAAGTCTAAAATGGGTTTCTCTTTACACACAGAAGGAGCCTTCAACCACTTTTAACCTGTTTTGGAAGTAGTGGGGTCTGTTAATAACTTAGATTAAACAGCATTTTGAGGACTTAGTGAAAATATTCAGGTTATCTTCCCCATAAATGCAAGTATTTTGATTCTAAGGTGTTGCACTTACATTAGACAACTTGCATCTTCTGTTCTTTCATATGACTATTTAGTTGACATGAAGACACTATAAAGTTGTCAAGTTCACCTTTATGCAAATCTCAAAATATCTGAGTGTTATATTAATAAAAGATCTCACTTTCTGAAAGATTCCTTCCATTTTAGGCTATGTACAGTCTGATGTGAGAGAGTTGAAAGGTAAGAGGAAA